TGTTCAGGCAAAGGAGTTGAAAAGTTCAACTGTCCCAACACCGTTTTGTTCAGTGATGAATCCTGTGGCAGGAAATGCAAAACCTAAAGCCGTTAAAGAACAAGTGACGAGAAGAGGAAACACAAGGCCGACATTTGTTCAACTTCACTGTGTTGGGGTTTTTTTTGTTTTGTTTTTTTCCACCAGTGTCTGTTGTACAGTATATACAGTAGGTCAGGGAAATTATCTATTATTTTTAAACAGTGTTTTTTTTTTGTCCCTCTGTTTTGGACCATTTTCAACTGAATTTTTAACTTTCAGCCATTTCTGGCGCTTTGGCCCAGAGGCCGCGACCCGGTAACAGAAAAGCGGTAATGGATGGATGGCTAGCCATTTCTGGGCTAACTTTCAGTTATGTTTTTTAATTCTGTTTTTTTTTTTTTACCTTTTCCAGTTATCGTTCCTGGTAGTTCCTGTTTTCAGGTTTAAAACATCAAGTATTTCTGACCTGTCGTTCTGTGACCTTTTAACCTGCCTGGTCAGTATTGTAAATATTGCAAAAAAATTTGAGCTATGTTTAGCTATGGTTTAGCTGATAGCCACTTAGCTCGTCAGTAATACTGTACAATAACATTTGATTTATCGACATAAGACGGCACTTTTATTTTCTTGCATAGCATTATTTGCAGCTACTGTTTTTTTGTTGTTTTTTTAGCTAAACCCTCTCTGAGCCAGTGGTGTTGTCCAATCAAATGCCTCGATTTAATCTCAACCTCATTCCAGAGAAGCCAGGTTGTCATTCATTTATACCATCAGTAATTTACTAACTGCAAAAACGGCGACAGTTTTGGTTTGTAAATGTCATTTTGTCCAATCTGTAGAACAGCACAAATATGGAAAAGTAAAAAGTTAAAAAATGTTGGATATTTTTTTGGGGGGGAAATGAGGTCCATTTTCACTTCAATTTTTGGATTTAAAAACAAAATTCTGACCAGGATTTAAAGATGATTTTAGAGCTCAGCTGAGTCAGAGTCAAAGAGGGTGAGGGAAGAAGGACGAGGACGGACACAGTGGGACACACAGATGAGTGGAAGCTCTTCTGAGCAGATGTGTAAACGTCATTAGAGGAGGTAATGGAGGCAAGTGGGGGGAAAACCCGCTCTTGTGGAGGTATTTACCCAGAGCCTGGAGCAGAAACTCAAACACAGCAGCAAAATGACTGAGGAAGACGAGCAGGAAGAAGAGAAGAAGAAGAAGAGGAGTCTGAGTAAAGAGAGAGAGAGGTTTGGTGGCTGGTGTGCAGTCAGGCCTGGACTGAATTTCTCTGACGATAAAAATGACAAAACAGACGACGCCGCGACAATCGTTAACAATCACAAACATTCCTGAAGACTGACCCAGCGATGGTTTCGTTTCACTCCCTTTCAGCTGAACGGCCTAATCCTGGCAAGTGTTTTCTCTAAAAGCCCTGTGCATCTGCCCTCGGGCTACACCCAGGGGCAGGAAAGGCTACACCTTTAAACCAACAGCACAACCACTGGCTGACTTCAAAGAGACTTTTGGGGACGCGGCGCGTCTCCGGTGTCCGTCTCCTGTCACGGCGAAGGTGACGCGTGTCACACTGACCGCGGGTTTGTTTATGATGTCGGATTTTTCTTCTCTCAAAGCACTTTAGATCCCCGTTGTTCGTCCCTCACCTCCTGACCGCAAACACACGTCAGGGTACAGGCGCACAGATGGACGCACACACAGGCACAAAAGACAACACGGTTATTTTCCAGGAGAGGTTGGAAATCAGGTGACAATACACAGTGTGTTCATTCATATATCCTCAGGTTTGATCTTAGTTGAATTCATCTCTAACCCATCCATCAACGACCGCTGTAACCACAGCATGACTGGGAATTCTTCCCTTTTGCAAATTAAAGAAACGATGGCGGTCAAGCTGCGTTGTTTTGCTGTTAGCAAACAAGTAAACTCAGACACATACACAAACAGCCACACAAACATGCACTTGTCAAGGACTCAGGAAGACGAGGTCCTTTTAAAGTTGCTCTCAGATCCACAGAGTGAAATGGACGCTGGTATTAAAAAAAAAAAAAGGAAAGGTCACGTTGAACGCCCTCGGACTTCTCAGCGGTCTTATTCTCCCGTCACACACTCACACACGCTCTGTCTGTCACCTTCTAGACGAGGCCGTGACACCTCTGGATGTGCCGCCGCTCCTCGCTGTCCTCCTCTTTTTATGACAGGTTGACACAGCAGAGACGGTTTGGGCGACGGTGCCAGTCAGAGCGAGAGGTGTTTTCTTTTACTGTGACCTTAGAG